GTGTTTTGAATAGTTGCAACTTGTTAATTGAAACTAAATTTAGTTTTTGCACGTGCGGAGGGGCGCTGTTTTTACAGCCTTGCTGTTAGGCGTTTACACTATAACCTCAATTTTCATTTAAGTTGTTTCTTGTTATGATTATTATGATTATTATTTTTGTTATTAAATTTGTTGTTGTTTTTATGAGTAGTAGTAGAAGTAGAAGCAGCAGTGGTACTTTTATTGATTTTCAGATTATATAGTGTCGACCAGTGGTCCAGTGGTCCAAAATCTCGATAGATCACAGTGTTTGTAACAGTGTTTTTGTGTACTCATTCCAGGGGAATAACGTCAATACAAAACACTCTTCAGAATTTCCATCAGTCTCTGATAACAAAGATTACAAAAGAGGGCTTAAATTGGTGAAAGATTCTTCGAGATGAGGTCATTAAAAGCGCAAAAAAGAACCAGGCCAATATTCAGCCACCTTGACCGAACAAGCTCCGGTCAATATAAACCATTTTGTTGTATGGCCAAAGAAAAAACTTTTTCTTGCGCGACCAAGGCGGGAAATACCGCTCGAGTAGCCAGTCGTGATCAGAACCAACACAATTTGCTTCATCGCTGTCAGCTCGCTGATTCAATCGTAAAATAAATAATTTTTCTGCATTTGGATAAAGTTGTCCAGAGGTGAATGACTTAAAAGAGATTTACAAGCTTTCATCCATAGTTTCGGCGGCAAAAGCTACAGACATTTTGCATTTAGTAAATATTGTTGCACATACAGCCGAAAAATTAAGTGGCTACATTGAAATAGTAAAACGATGAAGGCTTTTAATCTTTCCCTTGGATTTGGATATACTAACAGCGAAGACTTCCATGTCAAGACCAAGCCAAACTAAACCAAACTAACGTTAGAGGGTGACGCAAACCCTTGTCCTTCTAGATGTCCGGCCCAACTAACTGGGGACGGAATTTTAAGAAGGTTGGCTTTTGTGAGAGGAGGAAATCGGAGCTCCCGGAGAAAAACTGCCTCTCAGATCAGAATAGAGAACCAACACCAACACTCATTAGAACCTACGTACTATGAAGTCGACAACGAGTCTCGATTATTCGCGGCGGCGTAAATGCTCTCGTCACTTCTCCATCATACCCTAAATTTCCAGTTTCAAAACTGAGAAATACAGTTTTCGTTTTTTTTTTAAAGAAAACGTGTTTTGAATAATGTGTTTAACACACTTCATGCTTCACCAGAAAAAGATACTAAATTTATAAATCATGAATTCACTGAAAATGTCGCTCGTTCGTTATCGAGATCACTTACTTGGTGCCCGGGACAGTCAATATTTCAACTTATCTCAGTGATATAGCAGTAGTATGATTTATCTGTAACAGGTTTTACAACGATCTTGAGCGAGGGCAGAAAGAAAAAATTCGTCTTGTCGTTTCAAAGCTGTCTCCAATATATCATAATGTGGCGAGTTTAACTTACCTGTCGGCCGGTGCAAAATTAAAGTGAACATGAATTGCAAGAGTATGTATGTTTTAGGTCTTTTTAAATTCGTTTGGTTATTGGAACTAAGAACTTGTTTATAAAGAATGTTCATGTCAAAATTGTCATGAAAGCGCCAAGAACAAATCTCACACCAACGTAGAATGTGTTGAATAGTGAATTATAAGGTGAAGGCTAAGAACATAATAAGGCAGCCTCGTAGAAGGACTCACTCTACGATTCCGAGAAAAAATGAGGTACTGTTCGCAGACCAGACTAACCCGGCAGAGTCGAGGGTCCGGAGCTGCCGAAGAAGGCTGTCCGGTGCTGAATCTTTGTATTCCTTAATCTAACAGGCAGGTCTCACAATCATAGAAACGGGAATCTTCTTGCTTACTAACTGCGGATTTGTATCATGAGAAAGGGCAGGCTCATGAAGGTTAAAACCATGTGACACTGAGAATGATAAAAATGGAAAGAAAACTCGACTTCTTGAAGAGCAGTTTGCTGACGAGAAAGAAGTTCCCAGCCTGTGCCCGCAGCGACAAACTCGTGGTGAATTGATAGGATGTACAGGCCAAGACGAAAGTCTTCCTTGAGAAGGAGTAAAACAAGAAAATGGTTGTGTAGCAGTTGTACAACTTATGCGCATCTGAGGCACCAAAGGCTTGTACTCCCGTGGTTCATGTTCACCAAGACTTGATTTTGGTGTTGGAAACCGATCGCGATAAAACGACCTTGTGATTCCTGGTTTATAAGTGTAAGGAAGGTTGTTAAACTTGTAGACCAGCCTTTGGCCTTGCACCTGCGCCCAAAAGAATAGAAAATGAGGAAAAACTGTCAAGTCCCTTTTAATAACACTTGTGATTTGTTAAAGTAGAGACACAAAATTCGATATTTATGTGAAATATATGTAACCTCACAGTTTCTCGGTAGCTTTCATTTCTTTTAATGAAAATCATCGACATGCTCAAAAGTCTGGCTAAATCTCTTATCTGGCTGTTAAAATTCAAGTCGTTGAAATGTCATAAAAGGGTCTAACTGAACGGAGCCATGAGCCCTTCTTCCATGGATAAAGTGTGTGAATTGGCAAATGATTCAAGATCTCAAAAGATTCCGGTCCAGGCACAGCTGTTGTCCGTCAACTTGAAATCAGGTTGTAAAAAAAAAAAATATTAAGCTACGGCAGCAGGATAAGCTCAGTTGGTAGCGCGCTTGACTGCAGAGCGAAAGGTCGTGGGTGTAATTCATTACCGAGCCTGGACCAGTCGTCAGTGTCTTAATTAAGAATATCTGAAAAATGAAGTTACTGCCTTTGCCCAGCGAACGGCTAGACCGTCGCTTGGCTCGAATGACCACACCGTAATTTTTAGGGAGTTATTTTTACTCCAAAAATGGAGTAAAAATTTTAGGTACAGGATAACCCCTTTTTTGGGGTTATTTTAACTCCTAATTTAACTCCGAATTTGGGGTCATTTTTACTCCTGAAAAAGAGTTCTTTTTACTCCCAGTCTGGAGTTAAAATCACTCCGAAATGGGGTTACTTGTACTCCTTACATGGGTTGTTTTTACTCTTTTTGGAGTTAATTTAACTCTGAAAGTGGAGTAAAAATTTTAGGTACAGGATAACTCCTTTTTTGGGGTTATTTTAACTCCTCAATATCTGGGGTCACTTTTACTCCTGAAAAAGAGTTCTTTAAACTCCTTTTTGGAGTTAAAATAACTCCACGAAAAATAACTCCACTGTAAGGAGTTAAATTAGCCCCACTGGAGGAGTTATTATAACTCCCTGAAAATTACAGTGCAGGTAAAATGGCGTTTTCATCTCCAGAGGGAGACGTAGAAACAGTGTCCTCAAATAGTCCTTTGCAAAATACATTGATACTTAAACAAAATGCTTTGGTTTAAAGCTAATACCTTGGTAATTATTCCATCTCGATAGTACAATCTCAAGGCCCGACTTAGCTTCCCGTAGTCCATTCTACCCCTCTGTTTCAATATTCCCCATCTTTTGGCCACCTCCTGTTGGTTCAAAAGCTCAAACTCTCCTTCTTCCCTCCTTCTCCAGCACATTATAGATCTGCAGCTCTCATCAGCCAGAAGTTCCAAGAGAAACTCCCAAAGATGCAACATATTCTTGTACCTGTGTTCCGAACGTGCTGAATTTCTGCAGCTCTGCAAAGGGCCCTTCCCAAGCTGCCCAGGAGTACCAAATTCATTGTCACGCATCTTCTTTCTGAAATTAATTTCCTCTGCTTTGAAGGGCAAAACACCTAAACGTATAGAAAGAAAAACATCGTGAGCAACTTGGAGCAATGGATGCTGCTTTAGGTAATTCTCATTCAGAGAAGGATTTGAAGTTACTAAAGATCGATTTTGCGCCTGCATCCAACTACAGTAGCATTCGGTTTTTTCGGCTTTCGTCTTTAGTTTCACCCACCGTTTTTTTCGGCGGGTGAAACTAGAAACTAGAGCCGAAAAAATTCTGATACTCTCGCAGGCTACCAACCCAGCATGCCCAGTAAAATATATCTGTTAACTGAAGTCAGTTTTTCTACTAACTTTCATCGTGAATTAACCAAACTAAATACGGTACGTGAACACATACTCCGTTTTACTCCTAGTCTGCCCCCGAACGTTACATTTGATACGACAACACTATTTCCTTAGCTAAGAGTTGCACAGTGACAAAGAAGCTAGGCCAATTCCAGCTTAAAATTGATTTGTCGATAGTGCACACCACAGGAAGAAATCAAGTTCATGTGGGTTTCTTACATTTTACCTTTCAGTCTGAAATTTTTAAGCAGGAAAGACAAAAACTGCTCAACAATTGGCCATAGTTCTTCAAAGAATTTGGGACATGGGTGAGCTAGTTAGAAACGCCATCTTGACAAATTTTATAGCCCCGGATTGAAGGCTTATCGAAACATCATTCGATAATAGCTTCTATGCTTAAGCCAGTGGCACATCTAGCTGTGTAGAGAATTTGATTGAATCCCAGCGAAGTAAATGTGAAACCCTAGGAATTGCCAATGAAAAAGAGAATTTGCCTATGCCAACAAGTTGAAAGGAACTATAGGTAGCCAGGGAGCGTTGGGTGTAAGCTGGAATAGAGTGAATCGAGCGTGGTTTTTTATGTAACTCTCAATTTCAACAAAAGAGGAAAGGGGCATACACGTACCCTAATCTCGAAAAAAAAACGGATTTACTCTAGCCCTACCACCAGTGTTGACATGAATAATTGTTCTCTATGAGTCCCAACACAGGGGATGTGACGCAACCTTTGGCCGATTTAGAATTCGCTACTGGGTGCCACATGAAAGCAAACTAGCAAGTTCGGTGAAATGAGCTTTCAGTTGTGCAAAAACCAGAAAAACTAACCCAACGCAAACGTCCTGGGGCAGCAAGTGGAATTTCTAACCGAAGCAAGACTGAAACTTGCCCCTGAATTAACCATGCCATGCTCGGTTTTGTTTGGCCCGTATTTTAAAGCCCAAAAACGCACCAGTGGAAACGTATATGGTGCCAT